CGCCTGGTCTATGTGTCGCAAGCTTCGTCTAGTATGCAAGGTTGGTGAGCAAGAAGGTCAACTAGCGAAGCTCCTGCGCAGCCATGGCACCGGCGTAGATCTTGGCCTCAGCGCTAGACTGCGCCATAGACGACGAGCAAGTAGACCTCCACAATACAGCACCAGAGCCCAACCGGCGTAGGAAGATTCGCAATGATCAGTCAGCACAACTGGATGTGTCCCTCCGAGCACAAACCTCATGCTTGATGTAGTCGCCAGGTACTTCGCTAACCTCACAACTGCTGTCCAGTGAACAGGATGGTGCCTCGTAGTCACAACAAAGCGAGCTAGGATGCTGAGAGGAAAAGAAAGGTCAAGACAAATACAAGTCATCAGGTACATAAGGCACCCCACTGCATAGGGACCACCAGACTCAAAGGGCTAGTCAAGAACAAGTGCAGTGAGCCTGTGGTTAATGGCAAGAGGAGTTGGCTGTGTGGTAGAGAACTAAAATCCGAACCGCTGAAGGACCTGCTGCACCATGTGTATCTGAGAGAGTGTGTTGGTGCGACAGGTTCTGTCTTAGGTGATCCGTAAGCCAAGATAGCAATGCAGCTCACCAAGGTCAGTGCATATGTGTCTCTAAACCACCTCGCCTACGCCACCACCAACAAAACTGGACTTCGCGTCCGTGGGCTTGCCGTCGCAGTTCGCCAGATCTCTCCCAAGGAGCCCACAACTGTGCGTCAGTCCCTCCAAGGCCTCGGCAGTGAGAATTGGAGAGCAGCCATGGCTGCTGAAGAAGCAGCACTCAAGCTCCACCGTACCGGGAAGCAGGTTTCTTGTTCATCAGCGAAGGGTACAAAATTAAGCAGAAAATGGGTCATCCATATTAAAGTGCTCGCAGATGGATCGATCGACAAGTACAATGCAAGATGGTTAGTGTGCAGCTTCGAGCAAACACAATTCGTGGATTACGATCAAACCTTTGCACCTGTCGGACGACATCAAAAGTAAATCCACTATATCAAGCAGGGCCCACGCATGTGGCAGCAGTACCTACGCACGGTGCTCATCCAACTCGGTTTCGCTCAGCTACCGCATGACCAAGGGATGTATCGGAAGGAGTCGCACGGAAATTGCGAAGAGTCACTCTACAACGGTAGTGAGCTAGACTATGGGGGGTGGTTGGCACGAACTACTAGAAGTGATCGTAGCTTTGCTTGGTTCCTTAGAGCTTGCACATTCACGGGAGAAGTTGGCAAGAGTTTCCAATAGCAAAGTCGAAATTACATAATGATTGACCAAGCAATGACAACAATGACTACATCAGGCACCTAGCAACTCTGCAGCTAGCCTGGTTGACCGCTGTCACAGCTTGGTCGACCGCCTGCCAGCATTGCGTAGAGGAGTCACGCCAGCACTGCAGAAAAGCGATCTGCCAACACTGCAGGTCGACGGCGTGCCAACGCTGCAGCCGTGCGGCTGTCCAGCGTTGCACCCTTAGATGGCAGCAGTACACACACTCGCATGTGCGCGCAGACGATTGGCCCGACTTGCATCGTTGTGCATCCGTCGGCTGTTGTCTGCGCCTGACAAGCCACATCCATTTCGAGATACCAGCCCGAAGTTGCCTTCTCCATCGCGACCTCAACGACGTTCGCGTGCCTCCACAGAACACGTCGAGCAGGTTACCCGGTCGACCTGGACACCACCAGGTGCTCTAGTCGACCACCAAGTGCCTCTAGTCGACCACCAGGTGCCTCTGGTCGACCACCAGGTGCCCCTGGTGGACCACAACTCCCGTCGAGCTACCCCTTGGTCGACAGACCCCTTCCGACGACCAGAACTGTCAGCGGGTGTCGCCGATCTCCCCTCGTCGACCTCTGCTCACTTGTCAGGTCGACAGACTACTCCGTCGGCCTCCCGGTAGAACTACCCCTCCTGGTCGACAGCCCACCCATCGCCCAGACCAGTCAGCTAAAGCTGTCGAGCTCCCTGGTCGACGGCTCCAGCCCTGTGACAGTCCTGTGCAGGTCGACAACCACTTCGTCGACCTGCCCCGCAGAAGAAGGCCGTCGAGCACTCCTGGTCGACGGCAACACCACAGTGAACCCCTGCAGCTCGACGAGGCCCGTCGAGCAGCTCCTTCACTGCGAACGGTCGGCTGCTTTTCCCGTACATCCGACCAAGTCGTCGGCGTTGCCCAAGCGAGGATGGGGACAACACTTCATTCCCGTTAACAGAAATTTCATCCTACTTGTCGCCTACGTGGACGACATGCTCTACACCGGCGACAACACCAAGCTCTTGGACAGATTTGAAGAGCAAATAAAGGAGAAGCTCGAAGTGACTATCAACCACAACTCCACTCAATTTCTGGTACTGAACATCACTTAATCCGCCACCTCCATCTATCTCTCGACTGGAAAGTTCGCTGAAACTCTCGCTAGTGGAAGGCAGGCACATATTGCTACTCATTGACACCTCTTTCCAGGGTGAGTACGCCATTCTAGGGTGAGACGTGTCACCCTGGTGGGGTTCACGGGGCAAGGGCAGGCGGTGGTGCTGGTGGAAGGCAGCCACATACTGCTACGCATGGACACCTCTTTCCAGGGTGAGTATCCTCATTGCAGGGTCAGACCGTGGTGATGGTGGAAGGGAAGTGCGTGCTGCTGCGCATGGACACCTCTTTCCAGGGTGAGTACCCCATCGTCAGGATCAGGGCGTGGTGGGGTTTACGAGGCACGGGCAGGCGGTGGTGCTGGTGGAAGGGAGCCGAGTGCCGCTACGTATTGACACCTCTTTCCAGGGTGAGTAGCCTCATGTCCCTCAATTCCCCACGGCCCATACCTCATTGCCTCATGCATTGTTCCTCCCTGCCCCTAGTTTTGAGGCGCCTCAAAACTTTCCAGGGTAAGTATCCTCATGTCCCTCATGCCCCATGGCCCATACCTCATTGCCGCATGCATTGTTCCTCCCTGCTCCTCCTCTCACGCCTCATGCCTCAGTACCAGATTGGAGTGTGCTCCCTGTCCGTCCCCCTTTCTGCCCTGTCCATCCTCCTTGTCCGTCCCCCTTTCTGCCCGCCTATGTGACAGGGACACCCAGAGAGAGCTTCTTTTGCTCCCTGCAGCACACCCACGACAGCACCCACTTAGAAAGCACCAACCACGAACTGCAGGAGGAAGGAGACAGGAAATGCAGAGGGGTTCTTCGTGTGCCACGTGGCGGGCTGAGATTGGTGGACTCCAGCGTGCCCCCCTTCCTTACCACACCAATCAACCTCACTACTCCTTTCCGCACACCTCCTCCCAAGCACGAACCTAACGCAACACCTCTCTCCACCGACGATCATCGTCTCTATCGGCAGCAGCTAGGTTGCCTACTATTAGCCACCGTCACGTGCTGACCGGATCTCCTAGGTCGCAAGACAGCTTGCACAATACATGCTTCGACCAAAAGGGGAGAATATGCTAGACATACGCCGGGCACTTCAATACCTCATATCTACACCTTACGTCGAGCTCACCTACACAGCCAACCTAACAGCTACTCTTCAATTACACGGCTACGTGCATGCAGATCATGCAGGAGATGCAGATAACAGACGCTCCCGCACAGGCTTTATGTTTCAACTCGAGTCTGCAAGACTTATCTCATGGAACTCGCAAAAACAGGAGATCATTGCTCTTTCGTCAGCCGAAGCTGAATTCATCGCCGTCAGCATAGCTGTTCGCGAAGGACTCTACCTGATGGAGCTCTTGTAGGAAACAAAAGTGACAATGAAAGGGCACTTCACGTTACTTTGCGACAACTAGAGCGCGATAAAGATCGTGAACAAGCCCGGTTTCGTGAGTCGCACGAAGCACATCGCACTGCGCTATTTCTTTGTCACGAGATTGACAAGGGCAAATTCAAACTCACCTATCGCCCAACTGGTGACATGGCAACAGATTTTCTGACGAATAAGCTGTCACGTCAGAAGTTTCAGCACTACGCAATCCTCTACGGGATCATGAAGAAATCCCACGGGGCTTGCATTTAGGAATGAAGGGGAGTGTTGGGATAACCATGGGTTAATACAACATTCCCGAAGGTTCTCCCTTATCGCATCGCTTCATAGCGAAACAGTGCACTTGTACGACTACCACGTTAGCTTGTATAGAGCACGTGAAGGTCAACATTCGTAGATAGTCAACAATCGCGACTGCTGGCCACCCAACAAAACTGTCATCGGGGATTAAACACTGCAATTCGGTATCCGTAAGGATCGCAATAGTCACTGTATCCGTAGCGATGCCTGCATAACAATTAATAAGGGAATATACCTCTTAAAGAACATGGCTAGCTAGGAATGCTATATAAACCCGTTGTAATGCTTCATTACATTGTTTTTTTTTCAACCTATTAATAAACAATGTCCTTCAAATACTTCGGCTATCTTTAACTCTACATGGCTAGCTTGATCCTATCCAATTCAATTCCTTGGTTATAACAAAAAAAATTGTCAGATTACACATCAGAGTATGCAATGTGGTTGTCATATGTTATGCTTCACTACAAATACCCTAGGTAAGAAACATTAAGGTTGAAGTCTGCTTTACTATCTAAAAGCTCAAAACACTAGCGGCTCGATCAACTTGTTACGGAGCAGCCCTCAACGAATCTTGGTGCTGTCAGCCGCGGAACAGCCTGATTTCATGTTGCCTTGCCGTGCCTTTCGCGAATGCGCAGGAGCACGATAACAACAGCGGCCCCCGTGAAGGAGAAAACGACCTGGGAAACATGCTCACATGTCATACCCGTGCAGGGATCTGCTGCCCATGATGATGGCCAGGTCGCCAGGAGGAGCGCGTGTAAGCCGTCGGCTGACCGCGTTGCTGTTCGTGTCGCAGCTTCTGTTGTTTCGTTTCGCGGATGTATTCGCGAGTGTGGACGAATTCTCGCACGAGAGTGTCATTGCAGGAAGCTCTCGATATTGGAACGGTGTCCGGCGGTTGACAACGTACGCTGACCTCATGGGCGAGCGGAGCTCCCCAGACCCCGATACAGCGACATCCGCCAGTGAACCAACCGACACTACGGTCACTCCCGCTACAGTCACATCCTATACAGGCGCTCCCGTGACCGGATCGATCAGTCACAGCATTAACTCCGGTGCGGGTGTAGCTGTCCCCGCTACAGTCACATCAACAGCCAGTGTAGACGATGCTACGGATGCTGGCGCTAGCAGCGGCGCCGCTGTCTCCGCAACGGATTCCTCGACGCGCACCACCGCTTCTTCTCCCTCTTCGTCCGCTTCTCCTCCGCCATCCCCTCCTCCCTCTCGCGACGCGCGTCTGCCTGCCGCGACGGACTCCTCCCAAGACCCCTCCCATGCCTCTCCTTCGTCATACCCCGCTTCGCCGTCACATGTTTCGTCGTCGTTAGCGAGGGCGGATTCCAACGCGGGAGGAAACGGAAACGACCTCCCTGACTCGAACCCCCTCCCCCGACCACCACACCTCACTCCCCACAGCCGCCCCAGGCGTCACCCCACACACCCCCCAGTCTCCGCCCCCCCCTCCGCCCGTGCGCCTGCGGGTTCCCCCCAGGGGGGTCCTCAAGGGGGTGTCTCTGGGGAAGCTCCCTCTTCGCCTGGCGGCGATGGGGGAGAGACGTCAGATGCCACGTCAGATGAAACGTCAGATGCCACGTCAGATGAAACACCAGATGACACGTCAGATGCCACATTAGACGCCTCGTCAGGTGCCCCCTTGCAGAACCCTCCACACGCCCCTGCCTCTGATGCCGCCTCCCCCAGCTCGCCCCTGCAGCCCTCCACCTCTGATGAATCCCCCCCGGAAGAAGAGCTTGGGGGGCACGCAGGGCAGAGGGGGCAGGTTGGGCAGGGGGGGCACACAGGGCAGGCGGGGGAGAGAGGGGGAGGGCGGGAGGAGGTGCGGTGGTGCTGCGTGGGGCGGGGGGAGTGCGCCTTCTGTGGGGAGGTGGTGCCGGCACTGTCCACTCACAGCCAGCTGTGGTCCTGGTGGGTCTTCTGTGGTCCTGGTGGGTCAGCTGTGGTCCTGGTGGGTCTGCTGTGGTCCTGGTGGGTCTGCTGTGGTCCTGGTGGGTCAATGAGGGGTGTACGTGCAGTTGGGTAGTGGAGGAGAGGAAGGAAGTAGGCGAGTCCATTGGCCTGCTCACTGCCAACCTTGCCTTCCTCCCCCTCTCCTCCTCTTCCCCCATGCCGTCCCCTCCCCTCCCATCCCAACCTGCCCCGTACCTCGCATGAAATAGCCATGGCACTCACCACTTTGTGAATTCACTGCATGCGGAATAGCCATCTCATCCCATCCCATCCCACTATGCATGTAGCACCGCAGCAAGCACGGGTGCAAGCGTGGTGTGTCGCAGTTGGCAATCCAAGCGGGTTTACAACTAACCAGTGCTTCATTGTTCATGACCGTGCGTCGTACCCATGCCCCCATATTCTCATCCCTCCCCGCCGCAGTGTGCAGCGGCGCAGCAAGCAGGAGTGCATGGGCTCTATAGCGGGCAGGCCAGCCACTCAGGGTGGGGAGTGGTCCAGTGGCTGTTTCTTGATAAGCACGCATTGCCCTCATGCCCGCCCTGCCCTCCCCATGCCAGTGTGCAGCGGCGCAGCAAGCAGGAGTGCATGGGAGCCATAGCGGCCTCGCAAGCTGAGCTGGTCTCCTTAGACGCGGGGCTGGCGTTCCGCGCCTTCCTGCACGGCCGCATGAAGGCCCTCATGAGTGAGCGCCTCGCATGGGGCGAGGCCTACCCCGCTGTTGCTGTCGTGCGCAGAGATGTGTGTGATGCCAGCGATGCAGGGCGGGGAGAGGCGGGGAGTGAGGGGCTCAAGGGGAGTGAGGGTGCTGCTGGCGTTGGTGGTGTGGGAGGAGATAGGGATGGGAGAGAGGGTGCGGTGGGGGAGGGAGGCAGTTCCGCTGTGAACAGCAGCAGTGGCGGTAGCAGTGGTGGTACTGGTAGCACTTCGCTCGGAAACAAAACTGACACACAGACGGTCCCGGGCACACCTCGCGGCACCACCACCAGCACCACCGCCCCCACCTCTCCTCCCCACTCCCCAACCACGCCCCTGCCGTCCAGCATCCCGGCGGGCCCCTGGCAGGGCCTGCACCGCTTCAAGACGTGCCACCCGCTGTACGCCTCCGCCGCCGGCTGGGACCTCCCTGTGCGCTCCCTGCTCGCTCTTGACCTTGAGTCCCAGCTTGGGGGCGCTGGGGGCGCGCAGGGTGCGGGGGGTGGTGGGGGTGGAGGGGGTAGGGGGAGCAGCGGGGGCAGCAGCGGGGGAAGTGGGGGGTTTGGAGGCAAGGGGGACGTGGGAGGAGTGGGTGGGCGAGCAGGTGTAACGGGAGGGGGCGGAGGAGGAAAAGGAGCAGGGCTAGGAGGCGGGTTTGCAGCTCCACCGTTTGTAGAAGGCGAGCCAGCGGATGTGACTCTAGTGAAGGCCGTCTTCCCCGAGTCCTGCGCCCCTGGAGGGGACGGCACCCTCGGCCCCACCCCTGCTGCTACTACTGGGGGAGGAGGTGGGGGTGGGGAAGGGGTGGGAGAGGAAGGGGGAAACGCAGGGAGAGGGGACACGGGGCGGGTGTGCAGTGGGTGTGTGTCGGTGAACGGGCGCGGGACATGTGACGAGGAGGACACGTATGCGGGTTTCCATGGTGCCTTCCGGTGCCTCATGGAGCAGGCGGGCGACGTGGCCTTCCTGAGGCTTGACACGCCGCTCTGGTTTGCCCGCGGAGGGCGGTTTCAGCAGGCGTGGTCGCTGCAAGATCTGGGGGAGTTCCGCGTGCTGTGCCCGCCCATGGTGGGGGGGTGTATGGAGGTCACAGAGAACGTGCACGCCAACTGCACGTGAGTATTGAGAAGTCTCAAAACCTGGGTATGGGCAGCGGCTGCATGTGAGTATGGTCATCGAGAATGTGGTTTGCATGGCGCCTTCTGGTGTCTCATGGAGCAGGCAGGCAATGCGTCTTCTTTCCGGCTTGATACGCCGCTCTGGTTTGCGCGTGGGGTGAGGTTTCAGCAGGCGTGGTCGCCGCAGGATCTGGGGGAGTTCCGCGTGCTTTGCCCGCCCATGGTGGGGGGCTTTGTGGAGGTCATGGAGAATGTGCACGCCAATTGCACGTGAGTGGGGCATGTGGTAGCTTCAACTGTGAAGCTCCTGGCTAAGGGGCTCTCGCAGTGGCTGAGTTTGGATGCATGTGCTTGTCTCTTGTGGGCAACAGAGTGGCAATTGTTGTTGAAGAGTGCAGAAGAGCCATGTCTCTCTGCCACTACTTTATCATTGGGCTCCTGTTTACCAGTGTGACCTCTGAGTAAATTTAAAGGTCATGCAGTGCAAGGCTCCTGTGCCGCCGGTGGCCGGTCGCTACCACACTCATGCCTTTTGAGATCTCTCAAAAGTCGGCCGTTATCACACTCATGCGCAACACATGTGCCTGCACCTCACTCACTCTCTCATACCAACACTGCTCCTGCTTGTCAACTTCCCCCACCTCTGCTTATTGCCCCCCCTCTGCTGCTTGAGTCTGCCAGCTTCGGCAGCGTGCCAGCCAACGTGGTAATGTCGCGCAACAGCATATCAGAGCGCTTCAAGCAGGCCATAGTGGCTCGCCTGGAGCTGGCGGGCACTGTCAAGGCGTGGCGTGAGGCACTATACGAGGGGCGCAACCCATTTGACTACATCCTCTCGGGCAGGTAGGCGCCGTGCCAGCTAGTGTCTGTATGTGCTTCAAGCGGGCCATGGTAGCAGGCGCCGTGGCTGGAGCTGGCAGGCACCGCCGGGGCGTGGCGCGACCCCTTAAACTACATCCTCTCCGGCAGGTAGCACACGTCTCGCTGGTAACTCCCTCTCAACTCTCGGCAAGGTACCCCTCCCCTCCACCATGTGCTCCAAGAGGGCTGCAACCCCTTCGACTAATCCTCTCTGGCACCTAGGTGCCACACCACTTTCTGTGTCTCCTTCTGAGCCGTTTCCTTGGGCCAAACACTCTCTCTGGCAGGGAGCTCGTTATTGCCTGTGTCCTTCAGTGCCCTGCACCCAGACGACGTTAGACTCTCGAGTTAACTCACAAGTCGCTGCCCTGCTCCCTGTGGTTCCTCATGAATGCTTCCAAAGCATGCTCGATTGGAGGGGCGGGGCACCAAGTCCTGTGTTGTGTTCCGTGTGGGCTGCTGCCTCTGCCCCGCATCTACCTGTTCAGCCTTCCCTCGCTTGCCCGGCACCTTCCCTCGCTTGCCCGGCACCTTCCCTCGCTTGCCCGGCGCCTTCCTTTCCTGCCTGTTCTGCATGGCCGTGTTGGGCTGCGCAATGCTTCTGTGTGCTGCTGATCGCCCTTCCTCATCCCCGCTGCTGCCTGTTGCTCCCAGTGCCAAGGGGTTAGTGCGAGTGGACTCGTTGACACGGGCCTATCTGGGTAGCATGGGCGAGGTGTCTGACGACATTCTGTGCTACAACCGTGCCCACGCCCCGCCTGCACACCCCAGGCCCTCTCACTGGGGCCTGGTGTGCGTGGGTTCACTGATGTGATACGGCCTGACACGTGTGTATACCCCTCCTCATCCCCGCCCTGCCTCTCTCACAGTGCCAAGGGGCTAGTGCGAGTGGATTCATTGACGCGGGCATATCTGGGCGGCATGGGCGAGGTGACAGAGGATATTCTGCGCTACAACCGTGACCACGCCCCCCCTCCACACCCCAGGCCCTCTCACAGATTATGTGTTTCTGGTGAGCATGCTTGCCCTGCCGATTGAATGCCCCACCTGCTGTATCCCCACCTACTGTATCCCCACCTGCTGTAGCGCCACCTGCTGTATCCCCACCTGCTGTAGCCCCACTGGGCCCAGCATGTTGATGCATCATGTCACTGCTACTCTTGACTCTCGCTTCTGGAATCTGTGCTTACCTCATCGCCACTCTCCGCTTTGCCTGCTTGCAGGTGGGCCGAAAGCACTGCTGGCGACACTGCTTGCTGCACTGCTGTTTCTCTGAATGATATTAAGTCTGAGGACCTAAGTGGCTTCTGTCTGGCATGTTTCACCCAATCAAGTCCCCCAATGTATGCTTTTTGAGAAAGGCCTTATTCTGCATCCAAAAGAGACAGCATGAGCGGAGATGAGATGAGGAAAGCAGCAGCTCTTGGTCCTTCCAATCCAAGGCGTTCTTTCAGAGCTCACACGTTAATGCTCGCCCGTGCTCGACCTCGTGCAAGGACAGCAGCAGCTTATGTCCCTTTGTCCCTCACTCGAACCTGGTGACACCATAAGACGTGACGTGAGCCTGATGTGCCTGTGCTGTGACCATTCCCCATGCCCCATGTCCCAAGCCGTGCACCATGCCATGGCAGTGTCACACTGCCACCTTGCTCAAACGTGTCTTGGATCCCAGCCTGCACGCATTGCTTCGTCTGCTCCCACCCTCTCCCCTGCCCTCGCTTATTTACCGGTACTACCCAGTCCTCTCTCCGTCCTTGCACACACCTACCGTACGTCTCTCCCACATACGTCATGCCCCTCCCCGGGTGGAATATGCAGGAGTATGTGCTCCAAGCAACGCTGTTTCAAGCACTTGGGGAACATGAATCTTGCATACTGACAGTGTTTCAGCGTTCCTTACTATGACATTGAGTGTACAAGCTTTGCTCGACTGGCATGTGCAGACTCCAAAAGCCTTGAGAGAGCGTCAACTGGAACATTCTTTCCCCACAAGCACTAGAGCCTCGCAACACACACACCACAGCGCACTGCACTGCACCCCATCGCACCACACCACATCACACCGCATGAAGCGTTTGGACTAAAACATTTTGCCTCCACGGGCGCTGACAGCCTCACAGAGGCGGCAGGGGAAGGAGTCGAAGTTGAGTGCTGTGACATGGGCGAATGGGCCTGGCACTCCACACATGCGCCATGCGAAGTAATTCATGTACCTCACTGCACCCACACCGCACCGCACAGCACCGCACAGCACATGAAGGCAGGCGCACATGAAGGCACGGAATGCATAGGTTAGAGCACAGTGAGCAAGACAGGACAAGCAATGGAGTGAGCACGCATGGATAGGATGGATGCAGTGGGAGCAAGGATCACAGCACCAGTTCCACTCGCAGTGTCATCATGGTGCGAATACTGCACCTGGATCATTATCGAGTGCAGTGATGAGTGTAGCAAGCTGCGCAGTGGTATATTGGTGACCATCGGGTCCCTGTTTGGACTTGAGTCACTTGTGAGAAGTCTCAGAAGCGAATGTTGAGACAAACGATGCACCTGGGTCGTTGGTGAGTGCGCAGTGATGAGTGTGGCGAGGTGCGCAGCAGAGTGCTTGGAGCCATTGATGAACGGCTCGGGCAACATGAACTGGTGGATGTCAGCTGCACCATGCCACACCATGCTGCACCATGCCACACCATGCTGCACCATGCCACACCATGCTGCACCATGCCACACCATGCTGCACCATGCTACACCATGCTACACCATGCCACACCATGCCACACCATGCTACACCATGCTACACCATGCTGCACCATGCCACACCATGCTGCACCATGCTACACCATGCTACACCATGCCACACCATGCCACACCATGCTACACCATGCTACACCATGCTACACCATGCTACACCATGCTACACCATGCTACACCATGCTACACCATGCTACACCATGCTACACCATGCTACACCATGCTACACCATGCTACACCATGCTACACCATGCTACACCATGCTACACCAGCACTGTGCCCGCCTCCAGGGGCTCCAAGGACTTTCCCGGAGCTGCAGCTGCTCCAGAGAGGCGGAGCATTTTGACTCGACTCAAACGACGCACCTGGGTCGTAATTTAGCACGGTGATGAGTGTGGCGAGTTGTGCCGCCATGTATTTGGTGCCATGGATAAAGAACATGAACTGGTGTGTTTTGACTCCCCTGCGGCTCCGTGGCTCAGGTGCTCCAGCGAGGCGATTCCTGAAAAGTTTGACGATTCTAACTCAACTCGAACAACGCACCTGGGTCATTACTGAGCGCGGCAATCAGCGTGGCGAGCTGGGCGGCCGTGTATTTGCTGCCATCTATGAACGACTCAGGCGGCATGAACTGGTGGATGTCAGGTGCACCATAGTACACGGGCACTGTGCCCGCCTCCAGGGGCTCGAGGGCCTTCTCTGTGACGTAGCCCGGCACACGTGTGTTCTCGGTGCTGAGGATGAACTTGTAGTGCGACATGGCACATGCTGATATCTCCTGCTTCAGTACGCTTATCACTCTGGGGGGGGCGTGGAGGGAGTGGGGAGGGGGAGGGTTGGGATGAACTTGTAGTGCGACATGGCACATGCTGATATCTCCTGCTTCAGTACGCTTATCACTCTGGGGGGGGCGTGGAGGGAGTGGGGAGGGGGAGGGTTGGGATGAACTTGTAGTGCGACATGGCACATGCTGATATCTCCTGCTTCAGTACGCTTATCACTCTGGGGGGGGCGTGGAGGGAGTGGGGAGGGGGAGGGTTGGGATGAACTTGTAGTGCGACATGGCACATGCTGATATCTCCTGCTTCAGTACGCTTATCACTCTGGGGGGGGCGTGGAGGGAGTGGGGAGGGGGAGGGTTGGGATGAACTTGTAGTGCGACATGGCACATGCTGATATCTCCTGCTTCAGTACGCTTATCACCCTGGCAGGTGGGGAGCAGGAGGAGGGGAACGGGATGAGTGCACATGGGGGAGGAGAAGTGGGAAGGGGAGGGGGCGTGGGGGTGACATGGCGCACGCTGTGATTTCCTTCTTCTGAATGCTTCTCATCCCGTCATGAGCATGCACGAAGCTTGCACTGCATGCAATGTGGCGCGCTTATCTGCTTCGGATCCATGCAAATCACTCTGGCCGAGGGTGCATGCCTTTCGAGACGCCTCAAAAGTGATCCGAATGCACATTCCTCTGGCCCGGTTGTCCCGGTTCAAGAGCGTATCCTGGTACAAGCAGAGCCGGGCTTGGCATGCAAAAATTACGTTTCGCAAAAAACAAAAATACATTGACACTTATCCGACAGAGGAAGGTGCAGCGCATGCTTATGACGTGGCTGCGATAGAGATTTTTGGACCAGGTGTATTCACGAATGCAGAGTTGATGAGAGGTGAATCCAATGGGGAAGAAGATGTGGAGGAAAAAAAAAAATGAAGAAGAAGCCCAAGAGGGCTGGAATGCACACTCTTGATGTTGTGCCTTACGCTACTCGCACCAATGGAGGTCGTAAGTTGCTAACCTCCCTCCCTCCCTCCCTGTCCCACCCAACCCCTCTCACCCAACCCCCGCATCCCTCCTCGTCCCACTCACGGGTGGGAGCATGCAGGGTAGAGCAGCAGCTCAGCATCGCTGCCGTTCATGTTGTTGTCGCAGTGCCCAAAGCTGTGGTGCGGCACCAGGGCGAACACGTCCCTCACCAGCCCCTCGCGCCACTCGTACTGGCAGTGCGACGATGCGCGGTACAGAGGCACGTCCTGGGGGGGAGAGAACGGGAGGGCGGTATAGTGAGGGCGGTACACAGTGCATGTAGGGGAGGGGCAGGGCAGAGGGTTGACACACGTCCCCTCGGCGGACCCTCATGCCACCCGCCTGGCAGTGCAACAATGACCGGTACACAGGTGAACAGATCCCATGCCCACCTGCCGCTTCATCTTGGGGAGACGAATTGCCTCCGTTCTCCAGCGTGTGGTGCACGCCCCAGTAGGTCAGCTGCACATCGCTGCCTGGCACGCCCAGACACGCCCAGCCACGCCCAGACACGCCCAGACACGCCCAGACACGCCCAGCCACGCCCAGACACGCCCAGACACGCCCAGACACGCCCAGACACGCCCAAACACGCCCAAACACGCCCAGACACGCCCAAACACGGCCACACACGCCCAGACACGGCCAGATATGCACAGCTGTCCCAGGTCCATCTGCGACTGACCTGGCGCTTGATCTTGGAGAAGAACTGTCTTCTGCCGGTCTCGAGCGTGTGGTGCACGCCCGAGTAGGTGAGCTGCACGTCGCTGCTGCCGAAGGGCGACACGCCCACGTCGAACAGGCGGCGCTTCTCCTGCAGCCCCCACGACTCCAGGTTCAGATACACTCGCAGCGGCTGCCCTCTGGCTCTGTCGGCAGGTGGGTCTGCGGGCCACACGTGCAGCGTGGCGTCTGCCTGCAGGGCCATGAGGGGCGACCAGGAGATCTGCAGAGCGGGGGAAAGGGGTGGAGGGGGGCGGGCCGGGGGGTGGGGGGCGAGGGGCGAGGGGCGGGCGGGGAATTGAGAGGGGTTTGGGGCATGGTCGCACTGGCAGTGGCTGTTGGCACAACCTTTCGATCGAGGGGACTCAGGCGGCGCTTCTCCTGCAGCCCCCACGACTCGAGGTTCAGATACACTCGCAGAGGCTGCCCTCACGTGCGCTCTGCGGGGGGGATCTACCGGCCACACGTGCAGCATGGCGTCTGCCTGCAGGGCCATGAGGGGCGACCAGGAGATCTGAGAAGAGGAGAGGGGGAATGTGGATAAAAGGGGGGCGGGAGGGAAGGAAGAGGGTAAGGTTTGAGGCTTTAGACGCAGCAGCAGTAGGCCAGCGGCTGGCCGTGGATCCACTCTGCAGGCCATACGTGCAGCGTGGCGTCTGCCTGCAGGGCCATGAGGGGCGACTAGGAGATCTGGGGAGCGGGGGAAAGGGGCGGGGGAGAGAGGGGAGCGGGTGGAGGGGGGGATTGGCAGGGGGGATGGGGCTGGGTGGGGGATTGAGACGGATTTAAGGCACGGACGCACTACCAGTGGCAAAAGCAACAGATACCTGGCACGTGAAAAGAACAGTCACCTGGCAGGTAAAAGCAGCAGACACCTGGCAGGTGAAAGCAACAGATACCTGGCAGGTGAAAGCAACACATATCAGGCAAGTGAGATCAACATATACCTGGCAGGTGATGCCGCAGCGGGGGCAGTGGTAGAAGCCCTCCAGCTTGTGCGGCCACATCCATGACTCAGCGCCAGGTGGCAGCAGAATGGTGACGTGGCGCAGCTGCATTCGCCGACACGCCACCCTGTTTGGATCCTGTGCGTGCAGGGGTCAGGGGGGGTAGTGGTGGGACAGGGGAGGGGTGGCGAGGCGAGGGGGGGAGGGGTGGAGGGACAGGGGAGGGGTGGTGGGGAAAAAGAGCGGTGGCAGGATGGGAGCATGCTGTGAGGCTCAGGTGGTGTTGTTGCAACACGGAGAGTCTCAGGAAGCACGCCCACAGGGTGGGGGTTGATGCGATGCGATGCGATGTCCATTGAAGAGAGGGGGTCTGAGCATCAGCGATGTGGTGTGGCGTGGTGGTGTGCTTCTTTCTGATTGGAATATTGAGGCACACTACCCCGCCTCGCCTCTCAACAGCGGCGGAACCTCAAAGCCAACAGGGCCCACTGCTGCCCCGGCAATGATTGGTTGCACCTGAATTGGACAAGAAGAAGTGGGCGAGCGTTTGTGTGGACACGCACAAACAATCCCCAAGTTTTCCAGGCAGAAAATAAAGAAGGAAACATTTAACACCCAACAAAAAAAACACTTGTTCCAAATTCCCAACCCAGCCTTGCATGTTTCCCCACTACTTACCACTAAACCGAACAGACCGCAAGCCTTCTTCTCACGCCACCCTGGCCTAATCTGCCGCCCAAGTACTCCCGCCCGCCCCACCCCCACCCCTCTCTCCCTCCCTAGAATATCTCCAACTTTTCAGTGGCATTGATCAACCTGCTCGGCCGCGGCCAAGAATCATTCCCGCCCACAGAATGGGCCGCACCTGAAGACTGGAACTTTTGGGGAAGGCGGAGGAGTGAGAGTACTTCTTGAGCAGGTCCCTGTGCTTCCACCTGAAGCGCGCACAGCCCACCTTGGCCTCCCACATCCTGACAGCATTAGAGGGGAGGAAAGGGAGGGGGAAGGAAGGGGGGATGCAGGCCGGGAAGGGGAAATGGATGGCGGAGGGGACGTAGTGAGGAGAGGGAGAGGAGAAAGCGGAATTGAGAGGGAGGAAAGGGAGAAGAGAGAAGAGGGAGACGGTAGAGAAAAGAGAGAGACCTGAGAAGAGAGGAACGAGAGGAGAGGGAGGATGGAATAGGAGTGTGAATGCCGCAAGAAAAGGGATGGAGGACGAGAGACAGCACCACACAATCATGCCCACAGACACTCTTTTGCATGCACACACCCACTGATTCACTGCACACACTCGCTTATTCACCCACTCCCTCACACATTCACAGACTCACTTGGCAGCAGGCTCGACATTAATACCAGCCTCGGAGAAGAAGGGAGCAGAGCTACCATCGCCCAGCACGGAGAAAGAAGAGGAGGAGGAGCGGCGAGCAGTGAGCAGGACTGCAGTAGCTCCTACAGGACCACAGTCACACCCATTACCACACATACTCACTCACTCACTCACTCACTCACTCACTCACTCACTCACTCACTTGCCCCCTCGCTCACTTGGCAGCAGCCTCCACATTGAATCCATTGTTGGAGAAGACGGGAGCAGAGCCACTCACCATCGCCCAGCACGGGGATGCGGCGGGGGAAGGGCGAGGCGGAGTAGTACTGCGGGTCGTGGAGTGCTGACACTCTCTCACTCATCCCACTCACTCATCCCATCCCACTCACCCCATCCCCTCACTCACCCCACGCATTTACGCTCCCACTCACTCACTTGGCAGCAGCCTCCACATTGAAACCAGCATCAGAGAACACAGGAGCGGAGCCCCCGTCGCCCAGCACGGGGATGCGGCGGGGGAAGGGCGAGGCGGAGTAGTACTGGGGGTCGTGGAGCGTGGAGAGCAGCGAGGGCAGCGCGCATGCCGCCCACGCCAGCAGCAGCAGTATTGCTAGCCATACCAGGCGCCCGGGAATGGTGCTCATGGGGGGGATCTGGAGGGACGATGGGGGAGGGGAAGGTGGGGTGGGGCGAGGGAGGGAGAGTGGTGGTAGGGAGAGTGTGGGGGAGGGTGAGTTGGATAGGCAGGGAGCAGGAAAGGCAGGGAGCAGAGCAGGAGAGGCAGTGCACACGCTTATCAGGAGGATCTGGGAGGGAAGTGGAGAGTGCGGGGGAAGGTGGAAGGGGGAAGGAGAGTGGGGGGGAGAGAGTGGGGCAAAGTGGGGAGGGGGATGCGGAGGGGGATGCGAAGGGCATCCCATAGCCACAGGAGGCGGATGGGGATGGTGGCACACACAGTACACTTCGGGGGATGGTGTTACACACAGTACACTTCGGGAGATGCGGGGAAGAGGGGATGAGCCGGAGGAGGGGGATGAGGGGGAGGGGGGATGTGAGGGAGGGGAGATTTCGGGGAAGGGGATGTGGTCCAGAGGGGGAGAGGATGGCAATCCAAAAGGGGGCAGGGATGAGAATAACGGCTCAATTAAAGGGGAAGAGACGCCAGTCACGTTAAGAATCGGAGGGATACCAAAATCCTGGGTTGTGAAACGGGCGGATTATTATGATAACAAGATATACGTCTTGCGATTTGTGATTGTAAGAGTTGTGAGTATAGGCGCTGTACCTTATCGAGCATCTCTTGCGCCTTATCCACAGCAGGCCTCAGCACGGGCCGAGTTGCATTCGCTATAATCACATACACGCTGAACCGCTGCAGGTACCGGTGCACTCCTCCCGCCGCTGACGTCAGCGCGTGTGTCAGCAGCGGCGGCACTGTACTCAGCAGCCTATCTGCGACATCCGCTGCCGCGGCCGCGATTCGCGGGGCGTGATCCGCGGCGGCTCGAGGCCATTCCGCAATTGGCGGAGGAGGCCATAGTGGGGTGGCAGAAAGTGCGGAGAGCGAGCGGAGGGAGGAAAGGCCGAGGGGGATGGTTTCGGGGCTCATGGGGGGGAAGAAGGCGGGAGGGGAAGGGACATCCGCGGAGGGGGGCTCGAGTGCGAGTTCTGATGGGCGCATCAACGGCGTGGCCGCGTGGTGAGATCGAATGAACGGCTGGATTTCGCTGCCGTCTCTTCCCGCTTCTCCTCCCCCTCCCCTTCCCGTTCCCCCTCTCGTCGCATGTTCCCCCCTTCCGCCGTTGCCGCTCTGATAGCTCCCGCTTCTGTTGCTGTGAGGTGATTCGTCATTGGGATCGCCGCGGTCAACGCTACAAACGGGGATGGTGGCAGGCGACGCGAGGCTCGCGCCGCCGTGTCCTGATCGCTGCGCCGCAATGCCGTCGTTATAGTGGCCGCCGCCGGCTGCGCTGCTGCTGTTACCGCGATGTTCGCTTCGATTAGGGTTACTCGAATGCGATTGGCGCTGCGCCCGCGACTGCGATTGAGCGTGCGACTGTGAGCGAGAAGAGGAGGAGGTGGAGGAGGCGCGATGCGATGACGCTTTGTCGCGAGGCATCTCGCCTACCTGCTGTGCGAAACGTTACATTAGCGAAGCCCCACCAAGTACATTTTTTTCTGAGTACTGTGTCTTTTAATGTCCAGCATGTCGATGTAGTATAATGGTCAGTATCTCCGCCTGTCACGCGGAAGATCCGGGTTCGATCCCCGGCATCGGCGCTTTTGGTAGAATTACTGGCGTATTCTTTCTTTTACAGCAGCAAGGTCTAAAGAACCTCTTATTTTTAGATAATAGGGGTTTTATAAGATTTCGACCAGCTAAAACGAAAACTTTAGCACGTGTACATAATTTAAACTTATCTGCAATGTTTGTTTTGCACTGTCATGCTTTCTTTTCCCAAATGCACAATGGTGCGGACCAGGGCTAATTTTTTGTTTTTGCCAACCCTTACGATCAGTGTTGCACATGTTCAAAACCCTGATTATCAGTGTGACCCCTTGTGGGAAAACTGATTCATCAGAGTTTCTGCTTAGTTTGAATATTCAACCCTGAGGCATCAGTGTACAATGTTCTCGAACCCTGCTGACAATTTCAGTTTCGATAGTTGGCAATCGGGAATCCCGGGTTACGGGGTAGGGGGGTTAGGGGAAGGGGGGGGGGGGAGGCGGGGGGTGGCTGGTACTCTCTTCAGGGTAAAACTCGCTAAGAGGATTGGCAACACTGAGGCGACAGTGTGCCTTATTCGTAAACCCTGACACATGAGGGAAAATCGAGGTCCCAAAAAAATTACCCTACGGCATCAGTGTTACACCCAAAAACCACCCTGATAATCAGGGTATCAGGGTGATTTACCCTGATAAAATAGGGCCTGGTGCGGACCAGAGGTGTGGTTTTAAGGGCAAATGCCCAAACGTTCACATAGATATAGCCGTTAATGACCACTAACTCCGGCAGGTAGAGACGCTTCACTTGCCTCTGCTGCACCTTCCTAAGAAACCCCAAGAGCGTCCCTCACATTTTGCTCACTCCCCTCTATCAAACATATATTTATATGTTATAGTTTGGGTAGGCTTAGTGGGGTCCATACCGTGGGGTACAACCCCTTAGGTTTCACTCTTGTACCAAAACTCTCGATAGTTCAATCATCCATGGCTAGATTCTAAGATGGTATCTAGAGCCTAGAGGTCTTTAGGACCTACGATAAGGGCCCACCCGTTACCACGTTACTTCACCTGCCTTGCCTGCTGCCCGCGCGCGCCTCGGCTGCACGCGCGCGTCCCTTTTTTTTTCCCGCGCGCGCCGCTTAAGCAGCCCGCGCGCAGCCCGTTTAGGCCCGTTTTCGGCCCCGCGCGCCACGTCAGCCGCCCGCGCAGCCTGTTGCCGGCCCGCGCGTCGCGTAGGCCGCCCGCGCGCAGCCCGCTTAGGCCCTGCGCGCCGCGTCCGCCGCCCGCGTAGCCCGTTTTCGGCCCCGCGCGCTACGTCAGCCGCCCGCGCAGCCTGCCGCCGGCCCAGCGCGTCGCCTCCTCCGGTGACGGCGCGCTGCCCCCCGTCGCCCGTCACGGCGCCTGTGGGACCCGCGCGCTGCCCTGCACCAGCTGCGCCGCCCCTGGAGCAGCAGCCCCTGGACCCAGAGCAGCCGCCCCTGGCCCCTGCAGCAGCCGCCCCTGGAGCAGCCGCCCCTGGACCCCGAGCAGCCGCCCCTGGCCCCTGAAGCAGCCGCCCCTGGTGCAGCCGCCCCTGGACCCTCGAGCAGCCGCCCCTGGACCCAGAGCAGCCGCCCCTGGCCCCTGCAGCAGCCGCCCCTGGACCCCGAGCAGCCGCCCCTGGCCCCTGAAGCAGCCGCCCCTGGTGCAGCCGCCCCTGGACCCAGAGCAGCCGCCCCCGGCCCCTGAAGCGGCCGCCCCTGGTGCAGCCGCCCCTGGACCCTCGAGCAGCCGCCCCTGGCCCCTGAAGCAGCCGCCCCTGGTGCAGCCGCCCCTGGACCCTCGAGCAGCCGCCCCTGGACCCAGAGCAGCCGCCCCTGGCCCCTGAAGCAGCCGCCCCTGGTGCAGCCGCCCCTGGACTCCGTGCAGCTGCCCCTGGACCCCGCGACGCCGCCCCTGGACCCCGTGCAGCCGCCCGCCGAGCGCCGGCCCTGCTCGCCCGGCGAGCGCCAACTCTTCCCGCCACTGGTGAGCACCTGCCTTGTTAGCGCGCTGCCGCGCCATCTGCCTGCCTGCCTGCCTGCCAGCCTTCCTGCCTGCCTGCCTGTCTGCCTGCCTGCCTGTCTGCCTGCCTACCTGCCTGCCGCGCCTGCCCTGCCCGCGCTGCTACTGCTGCTACTTCTGTTACGACTGCTAGGCTACTGCTATTGCTACTACTGCTACTGGCGGTGGCCAGATGCTGCTCCAGCGACGTCCACGCGAGTCTCTCCCGCCCCAGCAGCTTCGTGAGTGGTACGCTAGTTAAGGCTGTAGGGGTGGCCGTGTTGCTACTGCTGTTACTGCTGCTACTGCTGCTACTACTGCTACTGCTGCTACTGGCGGTGGCCAGATGCAGCTCCAGCGACGTCCGCGCGAGTCTCTCACGCACCAGCAGCTTCGTGAGTGGTACGCTCAGAGTAGAGGGTCTCTGAGTACCGTTCGCTGCCCGTACGTCATTCGCACTGGTGCTCAGACTGGTCAGGCTTGCGGGACGCTTAGTCACACACAGTCCCGCTGCTTCGCCCGTCTGAGCGACGCCTGGCGTACCGAGTTTGGCGACGAGGCTGAGCTCCCCGACTGGGTGGAGCTGCTTGGGCAGAGGGTAGATATATTTGCTCTTGACTATGATGCTATTCTCACTGCCATGTATGCATTGCCTACTAGTGCTGACCGTGCCTGTTACCTGTGCGTACCGCCTGACCCAGGTATAGAGCCTGCTGCTCTAGGAGCTGGTGAGGCTGCTGCTCTAAGGGCTAGTGTGTCTCCTGCTCTAGGTATGGGTGAGGCTGCTGCCCCAGGTCCTGGTGAGTCTGCTCTCTCTGGTACAGCGCCTGCTGAGGCCTTGTACACCTTCACACTTGACTCTGGTGCTTCTCGCTCCTTCTTTCGCGACAGCACCACCCTCACGCCGCTCAGTCGGCCGGTTCCAGTCTCCCTGGCAGACCCCTCTGGGGGTCCAGTCCGTGCGACCTCCTCCACTGTCCTCCCTTGTCCTGCTGTCCCGTCTGGCACACTGTCGGGTCTTTACCTCCCCTCGTTCTCTACGAACTTGGTGGCGCGTTCTGCGCTCCAGGACGCGGGTGTTCACCAGTTCACCCCTGCCTACGAGCGTGTGACACACTGCACGTGTGCTCAGACGGGTCGTCACCTGGCTACCTTCACTCGGCAGCCGGGGTCGGGCCTGTACACACTGACCACTGAGTCCCCTCAGGTAGCTGCGTCTGCGTCTACGCCAGGTCAGTTGTCGGCCCCCTGCTCGTGTCGCGCCTTGTCGCACCAGACCCTCCTTTGGCACCACCGCCTTGGTCACCCCTCGGTGCAGCGCCTTCGCAGCATGCACCGCCGTGTCCTTGTCTCTGGTCTTCCTAGGGTTCTACCTCCCCTCCCACCCTCGCCTGCTCCTCCCTGTCTTCCCTGTGTCGAGGGGCGGCAGCGTGCCGCTCCTCACTCCTCCTCGTTCCCTCCCACAGAGGCTCCCCTACAGACTGTCCACCTGGACGTGTGGGGCCCAGCCCGCGCCCGTGGACAGGGCCACGAGCGGTACTTCCTGCTGGTCGTCGACGACTACACGCGTTACACCACGGTCTTCCCCTTGCGCACCAAGGGTGAGGTCCCTGATGTTTTGATCCCTTGGATCCGCGCTGCTCGTCTCCAGCTCCGCGAGCGGTTCGGGACGGAGTTTCCCGTCCTGCATCTGCACTCTGACAGAGGTGGGGAGTTTTCCTCCGACCTCTTGGCAGCCTTCTGTGCGGAGCACGGCATCAGCCAGACGTTCACGCTTCCGGCCTTTCCACAGCAGAATGGGGTTGCTGAGCGCCGCATTGGCTTAATCATGGAGGTCGCTCGTACCTCCATGATCCATGCAGCTGCCCCCCATTTTCTGTGGCCGTTTGCGGTCCGGTACGCCGCGCATCAGCTCAACCTCTGGCCCCGTGTCTCCTTGCCGGAGACCTCGCCCACACTGCTGTGGACGGGGGAGGTTGGCGATGCGTCGCGTTTCCGGGTCTGGGGTGCTCGTGCCTTTGTCCGCGATACCACCGCGGACAAGCTCTATGCCCGCGCTGTTCCCTGTGTCTTCCTTGGCTTTGTCCCTGACGCGCCTGGTTGGCAGTTTTACCACCCCACCTCGCGCCGTGTCTTCCCCTCTCAGGACGTCACGTTCGACGAGTCGGTTCCCTTTTATTGTCTCTTCCCCTACCGCACTGCCCCTCTCCCCCCCCCGCCGCTCTTCCTCGCTCCAGGTGCTCCCCAGGTAGACCCCCTCCCCGCTCCCGGTCCTGCTCCTTCAGGTGTGTCTCAGGTAGACCCTCCTCCCTTGACTGCGCCGGTTGAGGTCACTGGTGACTCAGGTCCTGCTGAGGGTGTTCTTGCTCGGGGTGCTGCTTCTAGGGGTGCTGAGCCTGGGGGTGCGGAGCCTGGGGGTGCTGAGCCTGGGGG